GGGGGGGGGGGGGGGGGGGCCCCCCCCCCCCCAGAGCAGCATACCGGAAAGGTACCTGGTGCTCCCAGCAGGCACTGGTATGCCCGTACCGTGGCATACCGGTCGTATCCCACTACTTCCCCAAACGCTCCCACATTTATGGCAAGTCCTGGAGCAAAGTGCTCACATACGCACCTCCAGCAGCCTCTGACTGTGAGTAGTCCAGAAAAATGTAGTTAGCTTCAAGGCAAGAAGTCCAGCGAGGCAAGGGAACAAGCCGATGAGTTCAACGAAGTAAAGGAACAAGGCAATCATAAGGCAAGAAGTCCAGCGAACTCCAGACGTCGACAATGGCACACAAAACTCCACAAATTCAGCACTTATTCCCAACAACTGCCCCTCCCCACAGCGTCTCCTTAAATCTTAGTCGCCAGGTATGAAGAGGGGCAGGGTGCTCTCCTCCCAAGTTGTCGGGTCAGCCTGCACTGTTCCCATCTCTCCACTCTCCGTGCTCGGGGATCAGGAGGGAGCTGTCCTGGCTCATCGCCTCCTCTCCGTTGCTCCTCATCTCCACTGCCTGCATTCTCTTTTCCCCTCTCTTGGTTCTCTTGCCCCCTTTCTTCCCTGCTGGCAAGCCATCCCAATCCCAAGGGATCCAGGGCTGCCTCGTCCTGCTCCTGCACGTGTTCCTCTGAAGCCAACAAGGCCACCCTCTTGACCTCCATCAGCCCCAGCGCTGGCTCATCCTCCTCCACAGACTTAGGCTCTGGCGGGGCCATGACAGACTGGTTTCATGGAGGGCAGTTTTTCTGCGGACCAGGAGGGCATGATTTTGCACGCTGTCTGGTTTCTGCGCATGCATGGATGAGGATTCCCTTGCTCATTTAGCCCAGTTCCTGGCAGGCCATGCTCGTCTATGGTCCAGGGGTTGAGGACCCCTGGGCTAGAGGAAGAATAATTACTTGAACAATAGCAACCGCAGGAGTCACGCTTGCATTTGAATAAATGCATTCTGATGCAAGAGATTGTCCATCTCTTGTGTGGTTTTAATATGCTCCCATGATAATAGTTACCTGACTTTATTGGTACACAAAAGATTTTTCACGCATAGAAATGCTGTAAAATAGCTATAGCAATAGCACTCTTAGATTTATCTACCCCTTCACAGTGCTTTTACAGCCCTCTCTAAGCGGTTTACAGAGTGAGCATATTGCCCCCAACAATCTGGGTCCTCATTTTACCCACCTCAGAAATGTACTAAAAGTTAACAGGCATGAGATCAGGAATTCGGAGAGATGAGTTACATGATTCAATCACATTTTCAGTAATTTTGGGTAAGGAAACAAGGGCTAGAGTGTTTCCATGTCAAATCTCCTAAAATAAAAATGTTGAACACCTGCCACACTTCCTAATCATTTTCCAATTTGAAAAGTTTTAATTTAGAGGCTGAAAGGTAATAATTTTCCAGGAAGGACATGACCCCACCTGAGTCAATTCCAAACAACCTTGATTAACAAGAGCCAGTCCTCACAAGAAATGTTTACATTAACAAACATTTTGGAAAAGAGAGTCCAAAATGGATATTCAAAGCCAACATTGTAAATATTGTCACTAAACTTGCAAACAATGGTCTGGTCTTTGGAGTCTTCTCCAACATGGTAGCCACCAAAGTGAATGCAGTTCCTTGAATTCCCTACTCACATATGCTTCCAAAAAAAAAAAAGTTCAACTCTGGGCGAAGGATCTGAGCATTCTAATAAACATACTTCCCTTTATTTGCAGAGTTCAATCATTTTAAAGTGCAGGATTCTGCATGGTATTAAGCCATGTATAGTAGTTCTGATCTAGGCTTCCCCAAAAAGCACGAGGCAGAATCCTGGTCCCAACAAAACTCCTTTTAATAAATGAATGTGAATTCCTCTCATTCACATTCAGCAAGGCCCAGAAAACAGTCTTTCAAAGGAATGTTTATGACTACAGACCTTATCTGTCTTGGAAAGCTGCCATGTAAATATTTTCCAAATGAGGTGCTGTGCAAGGAAAGACTGGGCACAGAGTCTCTGAGATTCATGGACAGATCTTCACACTCCTGAAACGAATCTAAGGAACGAACGAGTGAATTGTTTCCTGCAAAAGCCCCCTCCCCTTTCGCTCCTCTTTTATTTCCTATGGGAGGGGCCATTCACCATCCACCTGTAGCTTTACTCCCAAGTCAACCCTGATTTCTG